TATATATATATATATATATATGTATTATAATACCTTTCCTATAATTAGTATCTTGTCTGCTAAAACCTTTTTTTCAAGAAATCTAAACACATGTTTGTGTTGTTTAATGTGACAGCAAAATATATTTAAAAATATATATTTTTTTAAATAATAAGTTAATACTTAATTAATAATATTAATAATTATTATTAATAATAATAATAATATTTTTTTAAATAAAGCTCATTCTGATTTAGGCACTAAATTATTTGTATATATACGTTTATATTGTTGTGTGTTGAATCATGCTGCAATAAACTGAAGTGAACATTACGGTAAACACCGCCATTAATAAAGCCCAAAAAGTAATGAACAGCCAGGCGTGTCTAGATTTGGCTTTATTAAACGTAATATTCAACACATGATGACGTAATTACGTCAGTACGTAAAAGAATCACCGAATTTGCTTCTGAACTGAATCTTTAAATGAACTGTTCGAAAGAACCGAATCGCAGAAAAGATTCCGACATAGACTTCCAATTAAAACAAAGTACGTTACAAGCGAACGTCTTGATACAGACTGCACATACCTACCAGAATTGTCCAAATGAATGATGCTGACTAACTGAGCTAATTGAGTTTTGTATACAGGAGTTTACTTTACACTAGGCCTACATATTTATAAAAATGGAGAAATGCAGACAGTTTAAACACTAAAAAGCATAGGTACTAAAGTTTATATCACTGATAATTACCATTATAATGATGAAAAGTGAACAGTTTCTTTCAGTAAAGAATGTTCATGTTTGTGGGATTGGTATCTTTGGAATGTTATTGTAATGCTAAACGCCTTACTGGTTATCTCTGAAGCTTGGTGCCTACTCTCTGCTGTGATTTGCAGCTCAGTGCAAAGGATTGATTTAGTCTGTTTATTATCCTATAATCTTTCATCTTGTGATTTCAGGTTGTGTCTATAATTTATATTAAGTATCTTTGTCTACGGCATAATTTACAATCAACACCTTGGTTGTTTTCTTCCATTATTGATCTAAAAAAACCCAAGGATGATTATTACAGTATTATAACAACATTATAACAATTTCCACGTTACAGAATAAAGTGTCAGTGGGAGTGGCCTAAACTGTAGCAAAGACATGTGTAGATATCAGTTGTTGAATAATTCAGAGTCATTGATTTTACCAAATGGTTTTAGAGACTGTGCGAGTGGTGCAACACTGTTATAAAGCTAATGGCTCTGGGGGGGGATTGAAGAACTAAAGGTGCCCACATTTGAAAACCACAAAGCCAACTTTGCTACATGTATTAGTTCTCCAATTTAGAAATGCACATCTAAGGAGTGCTTCACCGCAGCCTTAAGTGTCTATTCTAAGCTAATGCACAAGGACAATGATGTTGTACTGATTTTAACTGGACTTCATGCTCAAAAACAATTGTTTAGGGTTCACCAAAGGACAGGGGTGCAGTGGTTCAAACTGAGGACACTGGGATGCTGGGGGTGGACTTATGGATTGATAGCCACGAGGTGACTAACAAAGGTCTCATGCTCTAATAGTCAAAACAGACCTCAACTTGATTATTGTCTTAGAACCATAGAATATTCACTGAAATAGCACTTGTTTTAATTGTTGCTTTAGAGTTCCGTATAAACCAATTTATATATTACTATAGTTTGTTTCTATTTTGTTTTCATTTTAATTTTTAAGTTATAATAATTTTGATATTTTTGTCATTTTTATAACTTTTTTTTTTTTTAAATATGTGACCCTGGACCACAAAACCAGTCTTAAGTCGCTGGGGTATATTTGTAGCAATAGCCAAAAAAAACATTGTATGGGTCAAAATTATAGATTTTTCCTTTATGCCAAAAATCATTAGGATATTAAGTAAAGATCATGTTCCATTAAGATATTTTGTAAATTACCTACCGTAAATATATTAAAACTTAATTTTTGATTAGTAATATGCATTTAAGAACTTAATTTGGACAACTTTAAAGGCAATTTTCTCAAATTTTTTTTGCACCCTCAGATTCCAGATTTTCAAATAGTTGTATCTCGGCCAAATATTGTCCTATCCTAACAATTATTTATTCAGCTTTCAGATGGTATATAAATCGTCATTTCGAGAAATTGATCCTTATGACTGGTTTTGTGGTCCATGGTCACATGTCTATATAGTTTTTAAGATTTACATAAACTAAACAAAAATGAAAAATAGAAATGTTTTATGTATCAAATGTATCAAATGCTTTTTTATATAACACTGAGCTTTCATACTGTAATTACATCCCTAACCTTGAAATAAAATAGGCACAGTCTTTTCAAATGTTTTAACCAGTAGTTAAGAGTCTTTACTATAGAGCAAAACCATAATTATTACATATTAACACTGTACAGCAAGAGATTTTTTTTTTTTTTTTTTTGAGGTTTTTCAGGGTTGGAGCTGAACTCTGCAGGACTGCGGCTCTCTAGGACCGAACTTGCCTACCCCTGGGCTAGTCCAATAATTGTGTAAAATCTGAAGTATTAAAAGGCACATAAAATTCACTTAAAAAAAACTTCAACATTTAAAAAGTTAAATCAAAAAATATCCCCTGAATGAATAAAATAACTTAATTGTAATTAAATAATTGACAAAACATGTAACTGTAATCCTCAAACCAGAAGTTGAAAAAATTCCAATTAAAATATTCATGCAAGTAGTTCACTGTATAGCATGGTTCAAAAATATTTGCTTTTAAAACCATTCTCTGCCTAATAATTTTTGTTTAGAAAATGAAACAATTAAGATTCCAGAATGAGACCGTAACTATTACTGTATTCTGTACACATTTATTGCCTGCCCATTTCTGACCTATAGTACTCAAAGTGCTTCAATTAATTTCAAATGAACGTCAATGGAAAGGGGAAAAGCATGCAAACCAGAAAAATTAAGACATCTGTTCTGAGGTGGCACACTTATTCATATTGTGGGCAATCAGGACAAAAAAAAACGAAGTCCGGTGTTGTCAGTGGGACTGTCCAGTGCTCTGAGGCTATGTTTGTGACCCTTCCTTAGAAGACGAGTCTGCTGATGGTATTGAAGCCGCCTCCTCCACCCCCACCTGAGGGCCCACAGCTGCCAGGAGGCTCGTTGTCATCAGAACCGTTGGGTCGGAATGAGCAAGAAGCAGAGGTTGCTTGAAGAGCTCGAGCTCTGGCATTCAGCTCCTGCTCCTGGAAGGAAAATAAATGAAGGGTTAAATCCATGACAAATAAGAGATAAAGGAAGACGTTCCATATTTCATTGAAAAAAAAACATTTTTGACAACTCTTATTTGAAAATGTCATGTGGAATAACAATAAAAAAAATGTCATTACACCTTGAAAAAGTAAGAGTATATCTTAATATATTCAACAAAGCTTAAAATGTAAACTATCTGATATTTTAAGAGATGTATTGAACTTTACAAAGAGCCTTAAGGTTTTATAAAATAATTTCATGTCCTATGTTTTTCCCCCTTCATGATTTTGTACCATATTAAGTTTTCATTTGAATTTGTTAAAATGACTTTGTGAAAATCTTACTATTTAGTAAGGTTTTCTTTTCAGAAGTAAGTTTTCATTCATTGTGCTATCAGGACAGTTGTACAACACAAAAATGAATTTTAATTCAGAAATGTTGATAGAAAATGTGTATGCAAGTCTTATATGAGAAATGCATGCACTTTTGAACAAAACAAATGAGTGTTATGGCACTGACAAGATAACATTATACATTACAGTTCAAAAGCTTCTTTTTTGGGGGGTGGGGGGGTTAATACCTTTATTAAGATGCATTAAATCTACAGTAAAATATTTTACACTGTTACAATTTTTTTTTTAAATAAGTGCTGTTCATTTGAACTTTCTAGTATAGTTTCCACAAAAATATGAAGTAGTGCAAATGTTTTCAATAATAATAAGTAATGTTCCTTGAGCATCAAATCAGCATATTATGATTTCTGAAGATCATGCGACACTGAAAACTGGTGTAATGGCTGCTAAAAATTCAGCTTTGCCATCACAGGAATAAAATATATTTTTAAACATATTAAAATATTTAAAACTGTTATTTTAAATTGAAACAGTATTTCAGAACATTACCTTTATTAATTGTATTTTGATTTTTAAAAATGCAGCCTTGGAGAGTATAGTAGTAATAGTAGTATATTTTTGTTTAATGCCATGTCAGCATCTTAGGCTATTTTCTTGGAGAGCATAAAAGAGCACCACAGACAAAGTACAATATTCCCACCTGTAGGAAGAGTTTGTTGTCTTTGGTAATGGCATCCATCAGCTCCTTCTGCAGGGGCGGCTCTCCACTCAGTCTTGAGCCATTTACAACTGGCCCAGAATTGCTTGGTTGTCCACTGACCTCTTGTTTCCTGTAAATCAGGACATAGGCTGTGTCCTTAGGGAAGCGACCGGTGATGTTCCGCAATGACTCAAAGTTTGTAAAAGTCACTCGGCTGTCATTAAACAAGAACCAGTCGGTGGACTTGTGGTCAGCGCATCCCATTTCCTCCTGTGAGGCTGTCGAGCTCTCTGATAGGCTGGAGCTTTCCAGGGTCTTAGAACTTGGGTGAGCTACATAATCATCAGTGCTACTTCCATTCCTTCCATACGAGTAGTAGTGACCACTCTCAGAGGACATCCCAGAATGCACTACAACAGAACTCAAAACATACGGCACTGACAGCATTTCCGAATCACTGTCATTTGACTCACTATTTGTTCTGTTTCCCGTCATCCCATCCTCCTTTTGAGAAGGCTTGAGCTTCTTAGCTAGATTCTCACCACTCTCGGGGGAGTCAGTGGAGGAAGACGTAACTGCAGTTGAGGAAGATGATAAAACGGAGATACCGTGCTGGCGTAAAGGCAGGCTCATTTGAGGTGGAATGCCTACATTGTCCAGGATCTTGCGACGGACGTGGCAGGTGGCATCGTACGAGAAGCGCAGCAGAGTCAGAATGAGGTACTCCGGTGCCGCCACCACCCGCATGACCTTCTCGGCCCTCTGCAGTGAGGCGCAGCGTTCACAGAAGTAGCAGTTCTCGTTCTCTAGGATTTCTGGAGCTAGGAAGTAGTCGACCAAATCTGGTACAGACAGTGTGGGCTCCACCACCGGCTTCTCCATCCTGGTTCCTGCACCTTCTTTTACTGAGCCCTCCGAGGATTCACTGCCTCCATTCACCGCCCCTTGGCAGGGTCCCACAGAGGAGGAGCTTTTGTGCTCATCGGTGGGACCGTGGCACTTGGACATCGAGGGGCAGAATGCAAGCGAGAGGTCTGTAAACGGCTCCTCTTTTTCTGACAGGCTGTGGCACTGCAGGCAGCGGATGGCTGTAGAGAGTCGACCACCAAACATACGCTCCACTAGAGTGCGACCATCTCCGTTGGCTGCCACAGGATCTGGAGGCGATGGCATATCAGCGACTGGCTGACTTACAGCATTGTTTAGAGTTTCAGCAGAAGTGGTTGCAGGTTCAGGTTTTGGGCTGGTCACCTGAAATGCTGAGAGAGTCTTCTCTTCTTCATGCAACCTCAATATCACATAAGAACACAGAACAAAATACATGAAATGCAAACACATTTGATTGTTTTTAGAGCTGTAATCAATTAATATACTCAATCACCATAAATCTCATATTTATTATTATTCAAAATTGATAGATAATGAATGTGGTTTCGCTGACACGCATAGTAAAACTTCAAGACAACAAACAGAATTAGATTTCACTGAGCTGAAAATCTGCAGTTATTAAATAATATATAGCTTTATTTGGAAAGCAGTGTTTCTAATGTTTTTTTTCTCATCCTCAAAGCACGGGGCCCATGTCAGCTAAGGATGGCCCTGCCCGTGCGGATGTCTGTAAAATAAATCTGCATGGCTCCTCTGATAAAACTTGTCCTTTCATGTGACAATTTTACCCTATGAAACCAGAAAGGTGTGGTCAGTCACAATAATAAAATGTTATTACTTAGACACAGTAATAAATTAAATATTAATTTCATAAAATATCCCATTTATGTATTTATTTAAATATCCCATTCCCATCTAATAAGCAAACTGAATGGTTTTCTGTCTTGCATGTTCTCTCTCAAAATGATGGATGTCATTTTAAAAATGTGAAAATTACACACAACCTCTTATTTACATAAGGTAAACATCTAACCCAGCAACTTGGTTGACTAGTAAAATGATCGCTGTGCAAGCCCTAATATATATATAAATGTATATAATACATATTTAAACATTTTATCGCATACTCGTTGAAGCCATAGTAATAACAGATTCCAAACGTTTACATTTTGTTCACTTCTTTCACTTTCAATTCTTAACAGTTCTTACACCCTGTAGTGAAGCAGCGACATGATATTATTCTTATAAACAGTTACCAGCAATTTAATAATACTAAAAATGTCTGTATTTAAAACATATACACATTACAGTGAAGTGCAACAGTTACCGTATGGTGCTTGGCTGTAGAAAAAGAGATTTTTGGATTAATCCCTCTTTGTAAACTCAAGAGATGTCGATTCTTACTGTGAATTTTTAATGCAGGTGGCAGGAGAAAAACAGACTTTCTGGATTCTAGATGGCAATAAAATCATACTAACCCATGTAAATGAAGAAAATATGTTACTGCCCAATGAGAAACAACTGCGAACAAAATTTCCCCACACGTTATGGACTTCTATTTGACCAGCTTATACTGAAGCTGACTGGCTGTCCTCTTACGGTCTTCTTTTTAATGTCTGTACAAATGAATGTGTGTTTCGCTTGTAGTTTACTTGCTCACTTATACTTCATACTCCTTGAGCTATGAAAAAAAACATTACAAGGGTAGCTCATTAAACACACCCACCTAGCAATGTCAAACAATGCAACGTTTCAAAGGACATACAGGAAACTGCACAGAAGATAAACATACCTGTGTGTGGGCCAAGAAGGCAAAAAGAAGCTGGAGCTTCTTCATGAGGGTGTTGCTACCATTTAAATGCAGAGACATAACATGCCGTCTGAAACTTTTAAAGAGAGACTGTTAAAAATATCTTACGGTTTAAAATAGAAATATTTAAATGCCTGAGGATCCTTTTATGATGTTTTACATTGTGTTTACATGCGAACATTAAAACCTAATGGTATAAAAACGTAATGCTATCTGCTGCATAACTGGAGAATGTTAATGTTAGATTCATGACAGTAGAACAGTTGAGAAAGAGATCAGATAATATAAGCAATAGATTTAAAACTTACTCGGTAGCCATAAATAAAATTTGGATGATGCTGTTCATGTAGCACGTGTTGCCCAGATTCACAAGCCCCGTCTTTCCCGTTTCTGATTTTCCTGTGATCTTAAGCAGGCCTGAGGCAAATGAATTTGACTGAGAGGTCCAGGCACTTTGGTTCAGAACAAATTTGATCTTCTCCTCATTAGGTTTAGGTAGTTCCTACAACATAACCAGAGGTGGATATAAAACAGATGAAGCATTCAAATACACTACTGTTCTGAAGTTTGTGTTCAGTAAGGTTTTTTGGGTTTTTTTTTTTTTAAAAGAAATTAATTACTTTTTATCAGCAAGGATGTATTCAATTGAATAGCAACAGCAAACACTAATAATGTTACAAAACATTTCTATTTTAAATAAGTGCTGTGCTTTTGAACGCTCAAAGACTCAAAGCACAACATAAATGTTTCTTGAGCATCATATTAAAATGATTTCTGAAGGATCATGTGACACTGAAGACTGAAGTAAGGGCTGCTAAAAATTCTACTTTGCCATCACAGAAATAGAATTTCCTTTGAAAATGTGTTAAAATAGAAAACAGTTATTTTATTTATATTTCACCATATTAGATTTATTACTGTATTTTTCAACAAACTGAAGTCTTGAGGAGCATGAGACTTCTTTCAGAATTATTAACCTTACTGACCCCAAACATCTGAATGATACTCTATAAAATTAGTTATTACATACAAGGACAAAATGCTAAATAAATTCAGCAATGACATGTTAACTGTTGTACACTCTTAATTTAGCTCACGAGAGCTAACACCAGAGATTCCCTGTCTTATATCTTACTTTAATGGATTCAAGAATGCTGTCATAGAGGTCTGGGAAGCCAGAATATTGGTACATCATGCAGTGGATGAGATCTGCAAACTGCAGCAGGAAGGTTTTGCTGTTGGGAAGGCCATCGTTCTTCAAAGACTTTACAAGTGGAACTATATGAGGAACCACCTGGTACAAATGACAAGGGTTATATAATTCACATTACATGATTACAAAGCAGATATTAAAATGCTAAAATTAGATACTAAAAACCACAGCTCCTTAAAAGCACTACAAACATTTACAATGTTCTAACTCGTTTGAATATTAAAAGAAAAAAAAAGAAAGAAAGTGGAGCCATGTTCACAGTGGCCTTACTAAATGGAAGGCTTCAGGAGAGTGCTGGAAACTAAGCAGCATGTGTGAAAGAACCACCAGCGCTCCCTGTCTCACAATGGGATACCAGAGACGATTAAAGACCTGTAAACAGACAAACAAAAACACATCCATACACATAAACGCTAGGGCTGGGTTTTGACACAAATTTCACGAATCGATTCGATTCTCATTCACAAGCTTGTGATTCGATTTGATTCGATTACCAATTTGATTTGATTCGATTCAATATCGATTATTTTGGATATATATCAAGTACAGTACATGCCAAATTTTCTCAAGTAAAAAAAAAAATCTCTCAACTAATGCTGTAAAATATACATGAGAGTCAGCTGGTTCTACATTACTATAACATTGGAGGTTAAAATTGACTGATTTGTTAAAATTACACTTAATGAAGTTTTTTAAATAATAAAGTTACAATTACGTAATATTTCTACTTCAATTTGTTTTTTTAATATAAACATAATGGTGGCTGTCATCAAAACTTGATGGATTTATTCAAACATAAATTAAACATTGAAAAACAGTACAATTTACATTGAATGTGTTACATGGTGTATATATTTAGCAAAATGTCCCTCTCCAGTTTTTATTTCTATCTGACTAATGAGTTTATGGTCATATGTTTTTCTGAGGTAAATGTGACGTTACGTGACATTGTTTACAAGCTGTTATATTGATGTCTTTGCGCGGCTGAAACACAGATTGAGCGATTACATGAGACAGGATACGGATTGTAAAGTTGTACTCTTTCTTTTAAATTACCTTCGGATGTTTAGTCATGTTTATTTTGTGCTGAAACTGGTATTAATGTGGAGGAGACGATCAGTTCACGTGTGCCTCGCACTGCTGCATCTGTTGATCTGAGGCGCTACAGCGATCTGTCACTCCACATTAAACAGCGCCAAAACGGCATTTATTGTTTGAATATTGCAATACAGTGGACAGAATTTGAAATCTGAGACTTTGTTTTATATTAAAAGTGCAAAAGCACAATGCTTATTGCGATTTATTGGATGGGAAGTGCCCTTCAACGTTCCGTCCATTAACTGAAAACAGGCTAGACTAATCGATTCTTGGGATTTAAGAATCAATATTGTTCCGCAAAAATGAGAATCGATTAATATCGCGATATCAATATTTTTTTACCCAGCCCTAATAAACGCACAGAAAAGCATCTGCCAGGGAGGTCACAACAACCAATTTTTAGGCATCAAAGAAAAAATGTTAATGAACTCAAATAATCAACTAAATTCTGATCCATTCCACTTCCCAATCCTTTCTACAAACCAGAACTCTTATGCTGGAGTTGCTTGTAATTCTCTATATATGTAACTTTGAAAGCTCTTTTATGAGATTTTTACACACAGTACACACACACACACAAACCTGTTCGATTTTGAGCAGTGTGACATCTATGAGGATGGTGAACTTTTGAACAGCAGCAAGTCCCTTTAATAAAGCAATGACCCAGGTGTCCACATGATTGGCTAGAGGCCAGGACAACCAGTCAATCATCCTGAAAAAGACGGAGAGAGAAAGCAGGGTCAGGACAGGCAACATATAAAATAAAAGCCTTACATAAGAGTAACAGTGCCACAAAAAAACCTTGACCTCAACATTCAACCCTAGGAAAAAACAACAAAACAAGCACTACTCATTTAAAATCTGTTGAGCCATGATGAACATTACACTCTTTCTAAATGACTTGCATAAATGCAATTACTACATACTTGAAGCACACAAGAAGTAGAGAAAACAACATGATGGCAGTTGGATCAAGGGCTTAGTCTTTTAAACGGACACAAAAGCACTATTCACCAGCTTTACAAAGAGCACGCACACACACACACACACACACACACACACATAGTCTGACCTGCAGAGTGCTTGTGTCATACTGGCATCTTTAACATTCTGGTCAGTGGTGAGGCTTTTGATGAGGACTGTGATCATTTGCAGAGGGATGTGCTGGACCAGGCTTGCTAGAGCAATGGAGGGTTCAAATGAAGGGTCTGAAAAATGAAAACAAACACATTGTGGAATGATTATTAGGGAACAATACATTATAATTTCATATTTTTCATATGCATATACCATATTTAGGATTTTTTTAAAGGGGTCATTTCATACATTTATTTATTTTTTATTGTGCATATACCATATTTTAAAGGGGTCATTTCATTTATTGTTTGACTGATCTCTCATGAAGGTCCTTTAATGTTTCTAAGCTTTTTGCATCAAAAATAGTTGTAATTCAGTTTTTCAAAAAAAATGCCATTTTCCACCCTTTCTGACCATTAGAATTGAATGGTTGTGTTGCTGCTGTGCTTGTAAGAAACACCCCTTTCAATTATTGTTTCAAAATGCATGATAACAGACAATAACATTTCAATACAGCTACAAATCCCCGAAAAAATCCTGCAAATAATAGTAACTGCCAATTCCCACTCACACATATGTAGTCTAATCAGGATTATATTAAAAAGTGTGAAACATATTATTATTATTATTATGTTAAGCTTCTAGAGGTTCCTCAAAACATTCAGAATACAAAATAAATGCATATTAAAAAAGTAAATATATCCAATAGGCATTGCATAATATTAAACAATTATATAAAATATAAAAACAAATGTTTTAAAATATAAAAAGTAAAAAAAAAAAATTATTTTTAAAATGTACTATAATTATTATAATATTAAAACATTAACACATATATAACAATACTATATTATTTTTCAAATATTTACCTAAAATTTTTATTTGAAGCAACCCCACAGATTTAAGATTTTAATAATTTACCAAGACATTCATACGTTTATGGTTCTCTGATGATGGTTAATGGTCACATGACATGCAGGTAAACAAATAAAATATTTAATCAATTTATTTATTTTTATAATTTACGTGTATTATTCTGGTTGTTTTTATTTTAAAATTACAAATTTCTTGAAAACCCTGAATTATGAAGATAAAAAAATCTGTCATTATTTACTGTCACCCTCATGTCTATATGTTTACTATGGGCATTTTTAAATTATATTTTTATAGTGCTTCTGCATTCCTTTTAAAGCTCCATTCCAATGCATTCTAATTTCCTTAATTTTAAATATCGAATGAGTGGGGGGGGGGGGCGGGGGGGGGATCATTGCTTACTGACCTGTGGATGAGATGACGGCAAACACCTCCTGCAGTGACGGTAACAGCGTGGCCGGCTCGGCTTTCCAGATGCCCTGCAGCAGCACACTCACCCTGGTCACCTGGGTCACATACTCCCGCAACTCCCACTCTTCAGTGGCAGGACAGTTGAAATACGCAAAGGTGCGCACAAGCTGCTGGCAGAACAGAACTCCAGCCTTCTCTCGTGGGACGCACTGAGGGAAGTCCATCAGTATGGTGGCCAGCTTGGCACAAGTTGCTGGTTCTGGCCGTTCACAGATGATGCGTAGGACCTCCGTCTGTAGCAGCGGTGCCAACTCCAACACAGCCGGGCAGCTGATGAGCAGTCGGAGGGAACCGTGAAGAAAGTCCAAGATGGCAGGGTCTCTGTGGTCCAGAGAGCCATAGCCCTGCTGTAGGAGACCAAGCACGTATTCCTTACTGAAGAAGCGGGCAAACTCGTCGCGATGGTAACGCGCGTACGCTTCTTGCACTTGGAGGCCAACCTGTCGCTGAAAAGCATCCTCGCCCAGGAGAATAAGGCGGGTGGTGAGATGGTACAAGGCCTGGCACTGCTCCTCGGTCACTTCCTTTTCTGCAGCCTCCATCACTTTTTTCACAATAGCCCGTTTGACAGTCAGAGGATGGGAGGAGCTGACCAGCGCTTCCAAAATCTTATCCATGGTTGGACTGTATTGCACCACAGGAAAGGTTAGGTACGCCAATGGAGCTGTAACTGTAGAGGAGAGAATTATATTATTTCTAGTGTCAAATTATGTCTATAGTAGTGTTGTCAAAAGACCCGGTATTTCGGTACCAAGTCGGTACTAAAAAAATGAAAACGTTACGGTACCAGGTTTTTTTAAGTACCGGTGGTACCGAGTACCCGGTTGAGAAGGGTATAACTGCAGCCTGGAGATCTCCAAATGGGGGCGGGAACTCCAAAACGGGGTGGGAGCTCCAAAATAGGGCGTGGCTTCCTCCCATTGACAGACAGGCACATGACACACATGCGCACTTTTTTAGTTACACCCAGCGTCACCCCGGGACACCCCTGTTGCTTAGAACAAAGCCATAGAGTAAAATCTTTCCCCTGTGCTGCGCTGGGACGGCTCGCGGGTGATTCCCGTTTATATCATTACCAGAGGTTCAAACTCTAGTCCAAACACCACTGGCCACGAGCTTTGGGCTCTGCTCTCAAGGAGAATATTTATTTTTAGTTACACCCAGCGTCACCCCGGGACACCCCTGTTGCTTAGAACAAAGCCATAGAGTAAAATCTTTCCCCTGTGCTGCGCTGGGACGGCCCGTTTATATCATTACCAGAGGTTCAAACTCTAGTCCAAACACCACTGGCCACGAGCTTTGGGCTCTGCTCTCAAGGAGAATATTTATTTACATAGCATATTTTATTTTAGATGAACTGGAAACAATGTTTAATTTATAAAGTTTTATTTTGAAATGTAAGTCAATAACAATTGGCTGGAGCCAGAGCCAACGGTGAAAGTCTTTGTGCGTGGAGACCCCGCCGCATTTTGGAGGTTCTGCCCACTTTTGGAGTTCACGCCCCATTTTGGAGATCTCCTGTCTGCAGTTATATCTACTTGGAGAAACCCGGTTCTTGATGGGCTATCAGAAAGCTAGCCTCTTCCAGTGTTGCCAAGTCCGCGGTTTTTTCCCGCGGAATTGGGCTGCTTTAACACTGTTGCCGCGGGTTGTTTCATGTCCGCGGGTTGAAAAGCGACCCCATTAACGTGATATTTTAGGGTGACCATACGCGTCCTGGGAAAATGGCACGTATGGTCACCCTATGATATTTAGCCCCTGGAATGCGAATTTTACCAGGGGAACCCCGCCAAAACATGCATATTTTATCCTCGGAACGCGATTTTTAACGGGGGACCCCTTCGAAACGCGATTGGGCGGGTTTTGTTGTGAAAACCTGGCAACCTCTTCTTAAAAGCAGTGGCGACCTCAAGAGGAGGAAACGCATCAAACTAACAACACATTTTTAATATGCAGAGCTTCTGTTAAGAATATTATTCCATATTTTAATTTGAATTTCGGATTGAAATAAACATGGCCGTTAGCGTATATGTAGTTAATCGTTAGCATAAGCGCGGCTAGCGCTAATATAATGAGCATTACAATGAATTTTGTTCATTTTGTTCAAAATTATTTCTTTGTTAACTATATAATGCTCCTATAACTTTTATTACTGTAAAAAAACAGGAGGACATAATGGTATTTACTATTTTTACACACCAGAGGCGTTTAAATGAACGGTGTAACCAAAATATGCGTGTTAGAGAATGTACATATGTATGTTAACTGTTTATGTCATATCAGTCCGTCAGAAACATTTTTTTAAGTTAGTTAGTTGTAATTCTTGGCTGGATAACTCTAGCAGGTTTTAAAAGTCCTTTAAAATTAAATATGAACACAGTTTGGATTAAATAAAAGTACAAATTGGTTAAATAATCATTTGAAAAATCATATTAACAACAAATCATATAAACTATACTACAAAATCATAAATAATAATAGGCTAGCTAAATCATATAAATTAAACAAAATGAAAGTAATACATGATTCAAGTCACAGATGTCTTTTGGCTATCTTACATCTCTTGTTTATTAATTCCCATAGAGTAATCTGTACATTATACAGTTTTGCTCGACCATTGGTGAAGTAGGCTAGGCTATGTTTATATTTCCTCAGCCACTTTCTTTCTTTCTTTCTTTCTTTCTTTCTTTCTTTCTTCACATTCACATAACACACGTGTATCCTTTTGGCCAGTAGTGTTTTTCATGGATCTTCCCTTTCAGGTTTTATAACCTCAACTTTTTGGTAACCACCCCAATACTTAGATCCTATTCCCCCACTCTGTCCCTCCACTTTCCTGTCAGTTCTTTACTAACAAAAGGAAATTCATGATGCATATTGCCAGTGATTCCCATGAGCATTCATATGTAATAATGAATGCCACTGAATATTTTGTATTTTATTAATAGGCCTATTATTATTATTTTTTTTAATACTAATTATACATTTCATTGTGTTTTTATGCATTTTTATATTTATATAAATAATAACTAAAGGCAGTAACAATTTGATGGAAACAATTTTGGAAACAATTTACAATAAGGTTTCATTAGTTAACATTAGTTAACTACTTTAGTTAACATGAACTAATGATAAACAATAGCCTACTTCTACAGCATTTATTAATCTTAGTTAATATTAATTTCAACATTTAGCCTACTAATGCACTATTAAAATCAAAAGTTGTGTTTGTTAACATTAGTTTATGCACTGTAAACTAACATGAACTAACAATGAACAGCAGTATTTGTATTAACTAATGTAAACAAAGATGAATAAATACTGTAATAAATGTTCATTGTTTGTTCATATTAGTTAACACATTAAATTACACCTTATTGTAAAATGTTACCAATATTTTTTATTTGTGAACTGATGTTCAGCTGTTCTTTTTAATAGTCAACTTATTTCGGGTCATCGTCATAAAAGCTCTGTAAACACTGCCACAGACACGAAGATACATCTTTTAATTTTATCACGCTGAATGCTCACTAAAAGTGACGCAGTCATCACGTTTTCAGACCATTTCAAGATTTATTTTGACGTGACACAAAGTAGTGGTATCTAAGCGGGAGAGATGTTCTTTCATGTAAAGGCTTTGAGTACCCAGAAAAGCGCTATATAAGTGTAACTAATTATTATTATATTATTATTTACTTTATAATTAGTCAATAACGCCATAATTTTCTTCATAAAGGAAGAGAGCTTGTACGAAAATAAGAGGCGGGATTTATGGCATGAACCAATCATATTCAATCATAACCGATCATATCCAATTATAGCGCGATGGAATTGCCTCCTCTCACGTGACTTTCCCCCATTCATTCTCAATTACAACCCAGAAACGTCACGGCCCGCTAAGGGGTCTCTGTTGTAAGTCTATGGACTGAAGGGAGGCAAGCCTCCGCTGTAACTTTACCTGCAGGTGTCGCTGTTGGACAGTGTTACTTTATATAAACGAGTGACCTTTATACTTTTAATGCCATATTTATTAATATTTGCGATTTATGTTTGTAATATCAATTATTTTGTCATCCAATTTTTTTAGGAGACACTGCCTCCCTTGCCCCGGAACGCCCCTGCCGTGATATATATATATATATATATATATTGTTATATTGTTATATACATAGACATGCGGCTCTTCAAACCAAGCATCAGAATGGTGAAGGTGACTGAAATGAAAGGCAGTAACTCAAATAACCACTCATTACAACCAGGGATGCGAAACGTACAACACGTCACGTCAAACTTTAAAGCAGATGTGGTTGGAACAGGACTTTCTCATCATGGATGTGCAGCCCACAAATTTGCAGCATCTATCATGTCACTAAAGATTGGTTTCCAAAGGCAGGTCTGAAGGCAAACAAACATGGTACTAAGGTAAGTGGCAGTGAGTTTTCATGTCCTTTAAATAAACAAATCTACTAGACACTGTCGTAGCTGCATGTTGATAATGATGTTCTAGGATTTGCATGTTACATGTCAGAGCCCCAGTGAAGGTAATAAACTGTTCAGTGCTCAACCATCCTTAAACGAAAGCAGCTCACTACAGCAGAGATGAAGATGATTCTTACTGGACTTCTCCTGTTTGTCCTTGGGCTGAATGCAGAAGAATATTATAGAGCACACATTTATGTGTCCACTCCAATGGCCTGGATTGAAGCTAATAGTTACTGTAGAACATACTATACAGACCTGTCCACCATCACTAGTCAGGAGCAACATCAGAAGTTAGTAGCAGCCGCAGGAGGAACATTCTCTCAAGCTTGGATTGGTCTGTTCAGAGCAGCTGAACAGCCAAACACCCTGACATGGTCGAATCGAGAATCATATAGATTCACTAAGTTAAACAATAATGACAAGACTCTCAACTGTGTATATGCCACAGAGCTTCAATGGTATATAGGTTGTTGTAAAGATAAGCTTCCTTTCTTCTGCCATTTCGACTATGAATTGAGGCTTATAAGGATGAGTATGACTTGGGAAGATGCCCTTGATTACTGTAGGTATTGGTTCACTGATTTGGCCAGCGCAACAGACCAGTGTCAGTTGGAAATTTTGCAAAATAATAGCAAAGCTTCCAATGCAGAAGGTGTATGGACAGGACTGCATTTCCTGGCAGGAGAATGGCACTGGGTGAGCAAAACTTTCACACATATTCCATATCAGGGCTCACTGCCGTCATGCCCAGAAGAGCCGTACCGCTGTGGAGCTTACAACAATAGAACAGTGCAGTGGGAGATGAGAGACTGTGAGGAGAGGCTCGACTTCATGTGTTACAAGGTGAAAGTGAGTAACAGAAATGTATTTATATTTTTTCTCATTAAATTTAACAGTAATAAAACTTTCAATGGGTTTATTCTTTATTAAATGTATAAAAGTGCTTATAAGATTGGGTTTGCTTTCCTGAATTTACCTTAATATTAATAATAAAAATGAAGTTTGATTAAATGTCACTCCTAACAGTATACTAAGTGAGAAGAGGATGAAGTTCGATTTCACACAGGTTTTCCAGCAGATCAACACCACATAACTATGGACACGTTGAAACTTTTGTCTTATTCTTGTTTTGAAGAATATATCAGTTGTTTAATCATTTGAATTTGATCAAACTTTTTCGGTGTAA